TAGTTACGCTGCTATGATGATGGTTAGGACATGGATGATGGTGGTTAGGACATGGATGATGGTGGTTAGACATGGATGATGGTGGTTAGGACATGGATGATGGTGGATGAGGGACACGGATGATGGTGGTTAAGACATGGATGATGGTGGTTAGACATGGATGATGGTGGTTAGGACATGGATGATGGTGGTTAGGACATGATGATGGTGGTAGGAGACATGGATGATGGTGGTTAGGGACACAGATAATGGTGGTTAAGATGTGGACATGGTGGTTCAGGACATGGATGATGGTGGTTAGACATGGATGATGGTGGTTAGACATGGATGATGGTGGTTAGACACGGATGATGATGGTTAGGACATGGATGATGGTGGAACACGGATGATGGTGTTAGACACGGATGATGGTGGTTAGGACATGGATGGTGGTTAGACATGATGATGGTGGTTAGGACACGATGATGATGGTTAGGACTGGATGATGGTGGTTAGGACACGATGATGGTGGTTAGGACATGGATGATGGTGGTTAGGACATGGATGATGGTGGTTAGGACAGATGATGATGGTTAGGACATGGATGATGGTGGTTAGGACAGATGATGGTGGTTAGACACGGATGATGGTGGTTAGGACATGGATGATGGTGGTTAGGACACGGATGATGGTGGTTAGACATGGATGATGTGGTTAGGACATGGATGATGCTGGTTAGACATGGATGATGGGGTTAGGACACGGATAATGGTGGTTAAGATGTGGATGATGGTGGTTAGGACATGGATGATGGTGGTTAGGACATGGATGATGGTGGTTAGGACATGGATGATGGTGGTTAGGACACGATGATGATGGTTAGGACATGGATGATGGTGGTTAGGACACGGATGATGGTGGTTAGGACACGGATGATGGTGGTTAGACATGGATGATGGTGGTTAGGACATGGATGATGGTGGTTAGACGATGATGATGGTTAGGACATGGATGATGGTGGTTAGGACACGGGATGATGGTGGTTAGGAAGGATGATGGTGTAGGACATGGATGAGGTGGTTAGGACACGGATGATGATGGTTCGGGACATGATGATGGTGGTTAGGACACGGATGATGGTGGTTAGACACGATGATGGTGGTTAGGACATGGATGATGGTGGTTAAGACACGGATGATGGTGGTTAGACATGGATGATGGTACATGACACGAATGATGGTAGAATAATGGATGGAGATGATGGGAACAGATGGGGAAGGGGAGCTGTGGATACTCACCTTGAATGAATGAGAGATGAAATCGATAAAGAGACTAATGAAGATGATGACAAGTTTAAGGTCAAGGACAACCTCTTTAGATACCCCCTCTCTTCCTCCTGCTCCTTCAGCCTCCTCCTCCTCCTCCTCCGTCTCTCAAGCTCTTCACACGCTTGTTATTCTTGATTGCGTTTGATTGAGGGAAAATATTTGGTTAATTTTACTTATCCTGTTGAGACATTTCTATTGAACCTGGAATTATAAGATCGTTTCCTGTGTGTGTGTGTGTGTGTGTGTGTGTGTGTGTGTGTGTGTGGTTCTCTCCGAAGGACCTCGTCTACCAAAGGGATCAATTTGTCTTATACACTCTTAAGATTCTGAAAGTTTTCCCCCACAGACTCATAGACGCGATTTATCCTATCCTGTTGTATCATGTTGTACGTTTATTGAGGGATAATGTGAGATTTTCTTTATATCATATTTAGTTTTCTCCTGTAGGATCTTGTACTCCCTATCAGGATATTTCTGTCTCCTTAATACTATCTATCACATCCTATTATATCCTGTTCACTTATATCCTGATACAACCCTACAAGTATTTTTAGAATCCTGTAAGATCGTGGAGTCTATGCCAGTGTCCTATGAAATCCTTTTGAGCTGCGAAGGATATTATTTTTTTTTTGCCTCAAGATTCACCAGACCGTTGAGTTAAGTTTGTCCTTGAGTCCTACTATAAATAATTACATAGTTTGTCTCTCTTGGTTTATTCTGGTTCTTAATTAATAAAGGAGAGAACCCAAAGTCGCACATAATGAGGGGGTGTTCTTGATGTCCTTCACGTCTTCTTGTGGGGAGAAGAGGTGACGGGAGGTGGGAGATGAGGTGATGGGGAGGTGGGGTGATGAGGTGTGGTCGGGGAGGGGGGAGA